CCTGTCGCCGCACGCTGTGACACACGTGCTCACGCCCCCGTTCCTAGGAACACTGGTCAGGCTGAGGGACACAATGGTTACGAATTGGGCACCTTGCAATTCCGCAGTCGGAGCTGCTAGCTGAGTGGATGATCCCATCTGTCTTTACTGGTGTTTTATTTGCTTTTTTTTTTTTTTCTTAATGGAATACATATTAAAAATAAAATGGCTTTAATAAAGAAAGAGGAACTGGGGATGGAAAGGGCTTCTTTGTTCTGTCTTCTCCAGAACGTTACAAGTCTAAGAGCTCAGGACAAGAGCAGCAGAAATACATGCAACATGGTGACTGGTGAGTCCAGATTGTCCACATGCTGCAAGTTGTGTGTGTGTTTTCAGTAACCTCAGTCTAAGTTTTACAAACTAACCGTATGTGCTCATGATCTTCAGAGAGTTTCTTGAACTTACTTCCTGGGAAAAAAATGCAGTTATGCTGAACAGGGAGGAATTGCCTCCCTTTATCAGAGGAAGCTTATTGCCTGGATGCTTTTTTTTTTTTATTTTATTTTAAAATGGGGTATTAAAAAAGATGCTGCCAAGACCTAGTGAGGATGGGTGTTTGCTGTTTCTAATGCTTGTCTACAGGATAAATGGAGTATGTAAATTAATACCTTTTACATAACTAGCAGTGAAAGTGGCGACTGCAGCAGCAAGCTGTTCATGTTGCCCTACAGGAGCCTGTTGAATGTGTGCTTGAGCCTTAGAGTTTTTCTGTTGGAGATGCAGGTGATTTTTTAGTTTTAATAAATAACATTTCTGGAGTACAGCATTACTTTCCTGAATCTTCACTTACTTGGTACCTCTGCAGCTGTGCCGGGTTTTCTGAAGTGCAGTTTTGAGTGCTTTAGTGCTTTTTAGCTAAATAATCCCAAGCAGCCTTCAAACTGACAGGAAGGACTCTTGGAGAAACATGGCCTGGCCCACACCATTATCTGAAGTGTCTTTAGCTCCTTTCTGAGTGCCAGAGTTGAAGAGAAAACCAAGAGAAGATCCCGTTGCTGTTCTGGGGCAGGAACAAATACACCAGGTGGGGTTTCGGACCTGCGCTTGGGGCTTCCCGTGCTGCAGTGGCTCAGCTGAGAGCTTCATGGGTTTAGGCATTAGTGGCTCTCAGTGTAGTAACTTCAAGCAAATCTAAAGGAAGATTTTTTCCATGCTAGAAGAGAGGAAAAGAGAGGCTCCTTCTGACAGCTTGCAACAGGAAGATTTGCTAGTAAGGGAAGTCAAGCCTAGTAGGCTCTTGATTTTGATTCTAAAAAGAACTAATTAAGATGGAGTAGCCAAGCAGGGCCAAGGATTTGTATCCAAGAAATTAATGCTGTATTTGTTCTGTTTCCTGGTGGTTGGAAGAGGCAGGTGATGGTTTGGTGGTGGACCTCTTCTTGATCTTTGGGATGATGCTTACACACCTGGGTTTCTGGTGCCTTCTGGTCTGTGCCGCACAGGAGCGTTATGTACCTGTGAGCAGCCCTTGACAGAGGGGCTGGGGTTCCAAAAGTAGCAGTGAGGGCTAATGGATAGGTGCTGTTGGGAAGAGTGGCCTGGCTGAGCACCTCGCTCACTCCCTTGGCAAGGCTCGCAGAAGGCGAACAGCTGTTCCGGAGTTGTTACAACATAATAACCACCAGTGCAGGGTCAAGGAAGAAGGACTTTTGAGAGGTGAGCCCATCCTGTTTGGCGGCAGATAAGTGTCAAAGAGCACGTGTAGGGCTCATGTCTGGCTTCCCAGCCTGGCCTCCTTGAGGCTTATTCCTCAGAAGAGTCTTCCCTCTGGAAGTGTGTCTGTGAGCACACCTCAGAGCGGACGTGCAAAGTGACAGTGCTCTTCTGAAAGCCTGGCAGTAGTACTCAAATCAAAGTAGAAAATCAGGACACGCTAATAGCTCAAAATCTTTTTTCAGCTTTGAAAATCTGTTTTCCAGCTTTGGAGTATGTAGTGGAGCATGTTGCCACTCGTTGCAAGATGTGTTTGAGTGTCTGGTGCAGGTCCCACCCGAGTCACCGAGGGTTCACGGACAAGGCCGTTTCTTGGTTTCACGGTGGATGTGTACAGTCACTTGGGAAGGGGTTAAGAATGTGTCCTGTAGGGGTGTAGAATACTTCTGGTTGGCTCTTGGAGGAAACCTCACTCAGCGACTAAGTGAATAATAGTCTTAACTGGCTCTATCACATGAAGAGCTGGCTTGAAAATGTGTCAGAACAGAGTCTTTGAAAGGCAGGAGAATTGTTTTTCTGTCCAGCTGTTGGCTCTGCAGGAGCTTCTGTATGATGATTTTTACAGAGCTGTTGGATTTACTAACTGAACACTGTTAGCTGGTGCTTTTTACTAAACAAAGGTTGATGCCTGTTCTAAGAATATTTTCTGTAGTCATCTCATACAGCAACAAATGTTGCTTAACTCCAGAAAGTATAGATACAGGGCAGGTTGCCTCATGCGTGGTCCTCTTACCTTTGATACTTTCTCCCCTGTGAGCCTGGTCCAGTGCACTAGCCATGAACCTCCTCCATGTAAACAGAAACTTCTGTGTGTTTAGACTTTTGACACGTAGCTGTGAAGAGTGGTTAGAGTTTGCTCTAGCTCTCTCTGGTTTTGGTGGGAATTGGAGCTGGACTTGGGGAATACGCTTGGGTGCCACAGAGAGCCTAGAACTAACTCAAGATTGCAACAGCCTGTGTGAAACCTGGTCTTCAGTCCCATATTTCTGTCTTGGTTCCACTAAAGTGGTAGAAAAGATTTGGCTCTTGTACCTATTCTCTTTAGAACTACTGTCATGATGTACATATAGTGATGTTTGTTCCTTTTTCCTCCTTTCTGCAGCTTGATCTAGTAGCACTGAATCACCTCTTCTAGTCCTAGTCTTGTGCTGTTCTACATCTTTTCACAACCATCTCAGTATCTGGAAGAGTTATAGCTTAAATCTGTCCTTTATCAAGACTAATTAGTGCCTTAGAAACAACCAGTATACTCACTGCAGAAACAATTTGTGGTTTTAAACAAGATAAGTCAATAAGAGAAGAGTGCTGTCACAGTATACCCTAGAGCTTTCTAATGTTTTCAGGTGGAGTCATCTCTTTTGTTGTTGCTTTGTAGGGTTTTTTTTCCTTGCTCTCACTTCCTCCCCGGTCATCTAATGTCTTTTTCTGTCTCTCTTTTGTATTCATTCATGGCATATTTCATGTTAACATCTTCCTATGTTAAAAGGACATCAAGAACTGATGCTGCTGTTGGCTTTGTCATTTCCAGAGCTCTGCTTCTCCATGTGTGTAGTTCCCCATTTGAGGAATCTCTTGTTCCCAGCACTCTCCTTTTGCTCGCTCTGTTCAAATCGATAAGCCTGTCCTAGTCCTAATAGCAGTGGGCTGAATGCTGCATCTGTTGCTCTTCCGTTGTGCTTCCCATTAGCTGCCTAGAATAGAACTGCATGGCCTGGCAGAACATGCTGCTTGGTTCTCCCACCTCTGTGGCTGCAAAGCAGGGCTGCAGATATTGATTTCTGAGCTTCTCTCACTAATACTGCATGCTGCAAGCAAATTAAATGTGCGACTTTGATTTCATCTGTTGTGGGACTTGCCTGATCTGGGTGAAGTACGTGCCAGAAGACTTTCTGTGGCAGCGAGCTCTTTGAATAGTACCACAGGTCCACCTGGTTATCGTTCAGACTTCCCTGAGCTGCTAAGGGTTAATCTGGGAAATGTATAGTAGTACAAGATGCCTCCTTAAACTGAAGCATCTGGCTGGGCAGATTTGCTAGCTTTCTTATGAGAGTTGGTATGAGAAATTCGTTACTGGAGTTAGGAATATCCTCGCATCAAAGAGTGCTGTAGTTAAGACTTTCACTTTCTCTTTCCTTAAGGAACCCTAAGGACCTTGCAATATGAATAATTCTCTGGAGAACACCATTTCCTTTGAAGAATACATCCGTGTGAAGGCACGAACGATCCCCCAGCACAGGATGAAGGAGTTTCTGGACTCCCTTGCTTCCAAGGGGCCGGAAGCTCTGCAGGAGTTTCAGCAGACAGCCACCACCACCATGGTGTATCAGCAGGGTGGCAACTGCATTTACACGGACAGCACAGAGGTGGCTGGGTCTTTGCTTGAACTTGCTTGTCCTGTGACAACCAGCGTCCAGCAGCAAACTCAGCCAGAGCAGCAGATACAGGTTCAGCAACCCCAGCAAGTCCAGGTAAGCATCTTAAATCATCTCTAAATGTATATGTGACTTGCTAACTCATGGACGAGTGTTCAGAGCTGGCTACTGTCGAACCTGAAACCACAGGCGAGCACTTAAGAAGCAAGGCCAATTAACTTTACATAGAAGAGCACTATTTCCCTTTCATTTAAGGAATTTGGTAGTAAATTTCTCTTTTGAGTGTGCCTCCATTGAGCCCCTCTGCAGGAGGAGTAGGATACATAGCAAAGCAGTGGTGTAACCTCTTAGAGAAATGGTTGACAGTTCTGGCATGTGCACAGCTCCCTGAAGCCTTGCACTGCATGTGAAGCTGCTATAAATACCACCCCCCTCTGCTGGTCTTTACTTTATCTGGTTGTCCAGGGTAGCCCTGGGATCTCACTCGCCTTCAGGTTGTTTTTAATGAAGTCAACACTCTTTAAATGATTTTGCTTGAACATTCTAGTGGTTGTGGTTCTTGAACTGGCTTTTAAGTGACAGGGAAGTGCAGGGGGATCAACTTATGATATGAACCAGGGGAAGATGCCTTTCAGGAAAGGAACTCCAAAAGGTGTATATGTGTCAAGTTAGAATATCCCTTTGCACAGTGGAATGAGTCTTCTCCATTTTTTCTTTTGTCTTTAATGTGTATTACAATAACTTTTAAGTATTAACTGAGCAAGTCCAGTGCTGGGGATGGGTTGGGGAAACACCCCCAAACATATAGCTTAGAATACCTCCTTGGGTCCTCAAACACAGTGTGTAGTTTGAGGGGTTTATAGGTGGTAGAGCATTTACTCGGGCTTTCTTACCGTGTGTCCCCAGACAGCTGAACTCCGTCTGCAGCTGTGATTCTGATACACTTCAGATATGAATCTCTGCCTTCTGTAGCATGAATGTAAAGTTGTGATCTGTCTTCTTTTGAAACAAATGAGGGTATGGAGAGACAAATGACTGGAGATAAGGTGGTGTGAAGGTGCTGCAGTGCAACAGACGTGTGTGAGCAGCTCACTTGCGTGCTTTTGTCCTACAGCAAAGAAGAACTTCCCTCTCCAGTCTCCAGTTACTCTCTCTATTGAGTAAATGAATGCTTAACTGGGACTTCTGTAGCCTGTTGCCCTACAGTAACTTGTGTTGCAAGGCTTTTGAAGAACAAAAGCCTCTAGTCTCGCAGACGGGACTTGGATCTCTGTGTGAGTCTATTAAAACTGATCAGGGGTGCTTTTGGTTCTTGCTAGCTTGCCAGCTGGCCTTTTTTTTTTTTTTGGGAAGGTTTTGGTTTTCAGTAGAAGAACTGGGAGGGTTGACTTCTCTGAGTGCCTTGCCCTTGAAGATGTGGAAGGCCCCCAAACCAATGGTAAAAGTCAGGAGGAGTCACACTTTTTTTATTTTCCTCTGCTGGTGCTTCCTTTTGGAGCTACTCACAGTTCAGGCTTGACCCTTACGAGACTTACAGTAACAGAGGTAGGGTGGGAGGTCATATGCTCCAGAGAAAAATAATCTCCTGACCTTCTTGAAAATAACTGTAGAGTTGCTGCCAGAGACCTGTTCCTTTTTTTTAAACTGAAAGGCCTGCACTCTCATCAGGTATTTTTTATGTACAAAGTCAGGGTTTCAGCAACTTTCATAAGGAATGTTGGCTGTTCCCTCCCCCTTGTTTTTGATGTGACTGCTTTAAAATACCTGCTCTCGTATCTATCTGTACAGTTCATAATTTATTTTGCCTACCCTGCTGCTCTCTTCAGGCCGTTACAAACACCCAGAACACTTGGGTGGCACATCTGGTGCTGGATATGGCTGCAGCTTTTGTGCATCAGCAGTGCAGCTGGATTCACGTGTGTTTGAGCAGCTAGCTCGGAATGACGTGGACGTTTTTTGCAAGGATGGGGTGGAGAGGAATGTCTTTACCCCTTTGCAAGTGTTTTTCCATCTTCCAGGATTTCTTGTGGAGACATGATTTTTGTTAAACCTGTGATTTTGTGTTCACCTGTCTCAAGACTGTCCCTGTGGCAGCAGAGCCGAGTGTCTGAACAAAGCTGAGTTCTGTGGTGACTCTGGGGGTGAGAGTGTTCCACTAGGGCAGAGCACCTGATCCAGCTGGCTCACTTTGCCAAAATGCTGCTTGTGTGCTCTTAGGAGAAATCTGAGCCATCCGCTGAAGCCTCTTAGCTTTTGATCAAATTTATGTCATCACAGTGCTTGACTTGATAATCTGTTTAGTTCTTGCTAATCCAATTGCAAATCAGTGGAAGACCCTCTGAATGACTATGCTTATGTCTGGCAGCGTGACAGTGGTGCTGAAGGTGACTAATAATATGACAGTCAGATGACCTCATGGTTGCAAGTGCTGTTGACAACCTTACGATCATAAAGATAGTGCTCAGGTTTCAGCCTAGATTTTATTTGGTGTGAATAACCAAAGGCAGCACGTGACTGCTACTTTTATTTAATCTGGCAAAATAAATTTCCTGTTTGAAGAAGTTGCCACCTTAGGGTCTTCTTGCCTGAAAGGTGCAACAAGCTGTTGCCATAGGTTTATCTGAAAGGCTGAGTGGATGCAGCTCTCTGGTTATGTACTAGTCAGTGCTGCAGTACAGGTGTCTCAGAGCTCTTTCCGTGCCCAGTGTCGCAGCGGTGCCATTAGTGATCTGAAGAAAGAGTCCAGTATGTCCAGTTGTCCTACCTTGTGCTGCACCAGGGAAGGGCTGTATTTTGCTCCATCCAAAGAAGAGTTTTATCAGCTCTGCCTTTGGTGAGGTTGCTGCTAATTGGTCTTGTGCATTGAGGCTGTCAAATTGGTGATGCCAGTGAGGAGAGGTGTTGGCACTGACATGCTTACTGACCGTGGTACTTCTGCAGAGCTCTGCGAGCCCCTTGTGCCTCTTGCCCATCTGCAAGATGGTTGGACTGAAAGAGTATCAGAAGATAGAAGGCATCTTTTTTTTGCTTTTCCAGTCTTCCTCCAGTCTGTTCTGTGCTGTACGACTAGTACAAGTAGCGGGACGTTATTAATGACAAGGCAGGGAAAGATGGCCTTAAGTAGTTAAGGAAATTTCATCTCTGGCTCTGCACAGGAAATACATCTTTCCTTCACTTCTGAGGGATGCAGCTTCCCCCTGCCCCAGTGTTGGTTCTGAAGTTCAGTCTGGAGGTAGGGCTCCTATTTGCTTACCTTTGAAAAGCTTCCCAATATGATATCAGTGCAACAGCTAGACTTAATTTAGCATTTGCTAGGGCTGAGTGGGCAACTTCAAGGAATGGTTATAGTAAAGAGTGATGTTTTTAAGGTAGCACCTTCTGGTGTATGGAAGTAGGTTCCTCTTTGGGAGGGAAGCTGTTTTGTTTTGCCCAGTTCACGTGTTTTAACCGTTTTAGGCTTAAGTCCTGCCCCAGAGTACAGCTTGACAACATAACCTTGATATTGGAACTGCTCAAACACACGCAAGGCCTAATTTCTCCTGTGGAATTCTCTCTGATGTTGATGGATGAGCAGAGGAAAAACCTGGAATAAGAATCTGTCTGGCAGTTGTTCTGAAAAGCTGACTTGTACACTCCCTCGTAGACCTTGTTTACTTAGATAGATAGCACAGGACTTCCTGTAAAGTACTTGAATAACAAGTTCCAACATTTCCTGCTACTTCAGTGATCAGTCTTTTCACCTACTCTGTACTTCAGATCTGCTTTGTATTAGTATCTATGACTTCTGGTGTAATGATAGAAGGAACTCTTTACTACAGTGTTTTTAGTGTTGGAATTGCTTTGTCTTAGGACTGTTTTTAAGGGAAGTACATTTTAAGCCTTTCCTTAAATTGGATTAAAAAGTAATTATAACATTGTTCTTCTGCTCTCACTAACCTTTTGTCTAAGTGTTTGACTTCTGTTGGCTTGCTCAGGTGTAGAAGTTTGAGGTGCACCTACATTACTTCTGGGCAGGGATTTGGAGCATTTTGGAGCATACATCTGAGAGCCTGTCAGGTGCTCTAGGGCAAGCTAGACCAGGACACACAGGCAGGAGTTGGTATGCATGCTCAATTAGGCTTTAGGAAATATTAGGTAATCCTGTCAGTCCACAGATGAGATTTTTCTTTGCTTGGGCATTCTTTCAACTTGCTTCAGAACCTGTAGTTCTGTAGTGCAGTTCTGTAGTGCGATTCCTTGTTGAGCAGAGAATCCACACAGGGCAGACATTTATGAATCCTACTTGAAAGTTTGTCAGAATTAGTCTGTTAACCAAAAGGGAGTTAAAACAAACAAACAAAAAAACAAGCCATCTTTGGAAACCAGGCTTCAGCTGTTCTCGTGCTCGTGGAGTTACATGCTCTTTGCATGTGCTTAGTTGTAGACGAAATATGATTTTGAGAACGTGACAGATTTCCGTTCAGAGAATCCTAAAAACATAGTTCTGTCCTCCTGTTACAATGCAGGGCAGACTTCTAGTGCTTTTGATTTTCTAGTCAGGTAGTGGTTGGTCCAGCTTCTAGCTCTTTTATGATGAAGAGGTATTTCTCTTTGGCAGTGACCTGCTGGGAGGTGATTCTTTTCATGCTGTCAGATCCAAACTTCTGGTGACAAGCAGTTTTTTCAGTACTGGTAACTTGGCGTCTTCCTCTCTTGCACCAGTATAACTCAGAAATTCTCAGCATAACATGTTCTTGCTTTAGTCTTCATCATAAGGTGAAGATTTAAAGTCCTCCCTGTTGATCTTGGCCTGTAAATGTCAAGCATTCCTCTTTGTACAGTCTTTTTAAAAAGTCATCTGCTGGTGGTGCTTAGTGTAATTCTTTGTCCTTTTTTCCTCAGATAGTAAGTAGACAATGAGGTCAACGTAAGCAGCTCTGGTCTCAGTTTGGATTGTAGTCTGTAAATCTAAAATTAATGTTTGTAGCACTCCTGGGTGCAACCTACTTGAAAACAGGGAGGGATCTACTGCAAAAAGCAGTTGTTAAAAATGGATGTGTAATTCCCAAGGGATGCATAATTTGTGGTAGGTAGAGCACCAGTCTGCTTTATAATAGGAGCAGTCTCCAGTCAGAAGCATGATGTCTGCAGCTTGCACCGTGGAGAACTTCCAGTGATAATGGAATCTTGACTTTTTCATCCTGTTTGAGTCTGAAATCATTCTCTGGGTGTCAGCAGTAATGCTGTGTGAACTTCGAAGCAGTAGCAAAACATCCTAGTTTTATGGGTCAGGATTTAGTCCTGGGGGGGAGTAGTGTAGGGCCTCAAGTCGTGGTTGCTCATCTGCTGAACGTGGTGGAAGTTGCCAATGACTTTTGCAGACAGTAGGCTCAAGCTCTAAAGTGGTTAATGTCTCCGAGCTATGCCAGGGCAGGTTTAGACTGGACATTAGGAAGCATTTGTTTACCAAGAGGGTGGTCAGACACTGGAACAGGCTTCCTAGAGAGTTGGTCAATGCTCCAAGCCCGTCAGTGTTTGTGGCATTTGGGCAATGCCCTTAACAACATGCTTTAACTTCTGGTCAGCCCTGAAGTGGCCAGGCAGTTGGACTAGATAATTGTTGTAGGTCACTTCCAACTGAAATAATCTATTCTATAAAAGCAGAAGGAACAAAATGCTGTCTTAGACCATGCCTCTTGCTTAAACCTATTCCATTACCTTTAGAATTGCACTTACGTAATAAATTGCTTCAGAACAGGAGTGGATTTTCAATTCTTACTGACAGTTAAAAAATATATAGTCTTGCCTTTGTATATATTGCAGCAGTAACGGGCACTGTAATGTAAGCTGTGTGGAGAGAAGGTAGGGGTGTTTCTAAGGTGTTCTCAGTCAGCCTGTGCAGATTCTGAAAGCACGCTGCAGAAGTATGGGATAGATTACATGCTCACCTCTGCCTGTGACACACTTCTGAATCCTAGCAGATAAAGCAGATGTTTCTTGTGTGAAACTGAAAATATATCAGGGCAGCAATGCATTTTAGTTTGCCCAGTCTTGGGCCTTTGCCTTACAGGTAATCTTTTGAACAAGCACCTACATTAAAAATCACTAATATAATCCTTAATATTAAAGTCTGATATTTTGGAGAATACTTGACATAGAGAAGTAATTGAAACTGGCTTTCTTAAACTGAACTGTTCACTGGGGTCTGTGCTTGGGTCTGTCTGCTCAAGGCAGTATGATGAAAGTGGCAAATAGAACTGAAAAAAGAATCCCATAGGTGACTTCATCTTTTTCAATTAACTGCCTGATCAAATGACTCATTGATGCAGCTTTTTAAACTGCTGTGCTGAAACAAGGTTGTATGTTTCTGGTCACCTTGCAAAAGTTTTTGATAGAAAGTCCACATCATCTGGATTACCGTATGCTGCACAGAGCTCCCAGTAAGAACCTGTAAAATTCCTTCTTCCTGAAGATTGAATTAGTTCTTAACAAAGGGTGACTTCTATAAGACTGGTCTGCAGGTGGTGCATTTTGCTACTCTCCTTTTTCACTTGGCAACTCTCAACTGGCTGCAGATGAATACTTAACATTGCTTAAGACTTCTTTGAGGTGATGTTGGGAAGTGAGATTTTGTGTGTCTGTGCCATGCAAGCCTGTGTGGTAGTTCTTTTGGTGTTGTCAGTTGGCTAATGTGGCCTCTCTGCACAAATGCTGTATTAGTGTGGCTGACTTCAGAAAGTGAGGTAGAAAAGGGTGAGAGGACGTGAGCAGGAAGACAGTTTTGCAACTCAGTAGATCTGTGTTGTTTTCAAGCTTCGTATGTCCCTCGTAGGTGCCATTAATAAAGCTCTACATCTCTCAGTTGGATTTGAGAGGAAAAGTTACATAATTAACTCCCTTAAGATATAGTCTTAAGGAAGCCTGGAGAAGCAGATGATCATGGGAACCTGGAATATCACTTCCAGGACAAGGCAAATGCAGCTAAGTGACTGTGCAAATGTGAGGGACAAAATGGTGCTGTCTGGATGAGGAGAGCTTGCTTGGTGCCCTGGGAGTGAAGGTACCAGCTAGGCTGGGTTTGAGGCCTGGAATGTGAAGTTACTGAGACCTGAACTTTGCCTTGGGGGCTATCTCTGACTCCCGGCTTTAAGTCCTCTCCTGGACTACTGCTGGACAGTGTGACTGACCTCAGACAAATGAGCCTTCATGTGAGAGGGTGTGACCTTTTTTTTTTTTCCTCCTAAAATAAAAGGAACTGTGTTTGGATCCAAGTCTTAACATACTTTGTCCATGTTATCCAGCATTGTGTAAGTGCATGAGCTAGAAAATACAACTGCGTAATTTGGACAATGAACGGAATTAAATGGAACAAGTAAATAATGAAAAAAGAATTGGTTTTAATTATCACTGCCAGAGAAATACTGAAGTTTAAAAAAAACAAATGCTGCAGTATTGCCCCTTAGTGCATGACAAAGATTCAGTTTGAACTTGAAACCCTCTGTGTTGACACCTGCTTGTGTAGCGTTACTATTAGTGGATGGTTTCAAAATAGTATTTCTGTGCTTTGTGGCAAGAGCCAAGTGCTGATTTCAGCTTACCCATATTTCTTCCTGCCTGCTACTGGCAAGTGATCCTGCGGCCATTTGGGGGACTGGGGCTGAAAGCAGTACAACAGTCTTTAGACTGAGTAGGAATAAGGCAAGCTCCTGCGTTTTGTAGGAAGGTAAACTTAACGTCAGAAGTGTAATGTGCGTGACCTTAAAGTCTTGCTATTGAAAGGCCTATGCTGAAATAACATTTTAGCAATGCAAATAGCTCTGATGACTCTTTTTGGCTTCCAAGGATGCAGTCTGTTGGCTGGATTCCACAGAGCTTTGAGGATGGAGATGCAGCTCACACGCTGTTCTCTCTGTGCAGGGAAGCGTGCTCATGTGCAGTGCTGAGCAAACACATCATCCACTGTACTGCTGTTACCAACCAGGCCCTCCTGGAGTAACTTGGTTTCATTTTCTTGAGATAAAATTTAATAATGGTTTAATATATGGAAACATAGAACAGAGCATAGAAGACCTGGAGCATAGACCTCGAGTGATGGACCGTGTCTGTAGGTGGCTCCCCTACTGAACCG